AGCCATTTGGGGAGTGAACCAACAGATGGAAGATCTCTAAGTCTGCATTTCAAATAAAAGAAACAGGTCTTTTTTTAAAAAAAGAATTAACAGAATTACATAATTTGTGGGATTCTACAAGGACCTTGTCCTCTTGACAGAATGAAATTTAGTACCTATTCCATTTCTTATATCCCTCACAGTGACTTATTCTTTAGGTAACAGAAAAGAAATTCTATAAAATACAACTAACTCAAAGGGAGTGATTTAACTTAAGTAACATCAGTTTATTACTGTATCTTCCGTTTGATTTTCCTTTATGATAAAGAATAGCCTGAGCTTTTCTCTTATAAAATACATTCCTAAGTTCTAGAAATCTGTTTTTCTTTTCCTTTTTTTTTTCCTTGAAAGAGTTAGAGAGAGAGGAGAAGAGAAGGAGAGAGCAAGAGGGAGGGAGAGATCTTCTTTCTGCTAGTTCACTCCCCAAATGGCCACAACCACCAGGGTAGGGCTGGGCCAAATCCAGGAATTTCTTCTAAGTCTCCCACATGGGTCCAGAAGCCCAAACACTTAGGCCATCTCCTTCTGCATTCCCACACATATGAACAGGGAGCTGGATCAGAAGCGAAGCAGCCTGGACTCAATCCAGCACCCATATGGGATGCCAGCCTTGCAGTTGGCAGCTTAACCCATTTTAAAGCATTAAATCATTTCTAAACCATCAGTAGTTCGAGTTTCTTCATCTCAACTTTTCAAAAATCCCTCTTTGTGAACATAACTGTGCTTTGTGGTAGATAAGACATGCTAAAAAAAAAGTTCATGCAAACCAAAGTGTGCCAGTATACTGACCCTGAGCAGATTCCAGAATGTGGCCAAGAGACCAGATAACTTCACCAGTTCTGACTTCACACAAGCTGATCAGCCAAGACTCTTCCTTGCCACCTCATTCCTTTCCCTACCAAACTGCTACCCTAGATAGTTCTGCATGATGGGAAGTTCGCAGATAAAAAATGCAGTCATTATTTCAAATCAAAGGTTGACAAATTATCACTCAAAAGGTCCAAATAGTGAATTCTTTAGACACCGTGAGTCATACAGTCTCTATCATAACCATACCACAATGCTGTATCAGAGTGAAGGCAGACATGAGAGCAAGCATGTGTCTCAATCCCACATTAGAGTCTCATTGACTGGGTGGTTTAGCAATAGAGATTAAGTTCTCATGGACGAGGAGCCTGGGAAGCCAGAAGAGACAGGGAGGGGCTTTTCCAGATTATAGACTGCTATTGTCTTGTGTTCTCACTTAGCAGAAAGAGGAAATGGAGCTCTCTGGAGTCTCTTTCATAAGGGCAGTAATCCCATTCATTAGGGCTCCACCCTCATGACCTAATTCCCTCCCAAAGGCTCCTAAAGCCATCACCTCGGGGGTTAGGACTGCAACTTATGAATTTGAGAGGGACACAAATATTCAGTCCATTGCAGTGTGTTAAAATAAAACTCCATTTACAGGGGCTGGCTCTGTGGCATAGTGGGTAAAGCCACTACCTGCAGTGCCAGCATCCCATCCGGGCGCCTGTTCGAGTCCAGGCTAGTCTTCTGATCCAGCTCCCTGCTATAGCCTAGGAAAACAGTAGAAGATGGCCCAAGTCTTAGGGCCCCTGAACCCTCATGGGAGACCCAAAAGAAGCTGCTGCCTCCTGGCTCAGATGGGCCCATCTCCACCTTTTGCAGCCATTTGGGGAGTGAAACAGCAGATGGAAGACTTCTCTCTCTCTCTGCCTCTGACTTTCTGTAATTCTGCCTTTCAAATAAATAAATAAATCTTAAAAAAAAAAAAGCCTTAATTTACAAAATTGGGCTGTGGGCCAGTTTTGAACTACAGAATGTAGTTTGCCAACACCTGTATAAATGATTAGTGCATAGATGGGTTTGTGATAGGAAGTAAGTCACAGGATAAAAATAAGTCAGCAAACATTTATTAAACACCTACTAAATTCCAAGGTTTCCATACAGTGTCATTACAAATGTTTAGTAGATGAGAAAACTGAAACCACCTGGTTAGCAAGTTGGGCAGCCAGAACATGAACCCATGCTCTTGCTGCAGGGTTAGCATCTGGCACATACCACATGTCAAATGCACCCAGGTTTTAGATCTTATCTTGGCTATTTACCAACTGTGGCTTCACAGAAAATCGCCAGTCCTTATTGTCTCAGGTTCATTATGAGGACTGAGAAAAACTACAAATAATGCTTGGACTCAATGCATGTAGCTAGCTTCAAAGACAAATCCTGTAGACATTTAAGTTTCCAGAGAGTTCTTACAGATTCCACAGACATTCGAGTCAAACAATCCTGCTAAAATATTTTTTCATGATTTCAAGTATTTTAACAAAAAAAGATATACTCATGCAATGTATACCAAATTTAACACATATTCTCACCTTCCATGTTAATTTATACTGACCATGAATTAGCTGGAACACAAATAGTGTAATAAAGCTATTTCTGTTCTTTCTGCTTATTTAAAGGTTTTATAGAGAATTCAGGGTAAGCTGATATAAATATTCATTACCATTTTTAACTGCTTATATATGTTAATCAGAATTGTCAACCAAAGCAAAAAAATCTAAAATTGGAGGTAAAAACAGATACAAAATTCTCCTATCCAATTTTGTATTAACCAAAAAACCATCTTTATCCCATTGTTTGACTTTATATTAAGTAAATATTATAAGTTATTAAAAACATCTTTATTTTAAAATGATTCACACTGTTTTCTGTATTGAAGGTCATGTAAGCTTTCATTTGGAGCTAAAAAAAAAAAAAGACATTCTCCAAGTAAAAGCATTTAATGCTTACCAAGAATAAAGCTGCTTCTCTTATTCTGTGACCACTATGACAGGAATATTATAATAAATTCTAGGTAAACTTTGAACTTTTGATCATGACTCCTCATATTTTTCTGCAAACCATGATCACTGTAATACCCTCAAATCATATACCACACTCAAACTCAGAACTGAGCCAAAATTCTCTTCCCAAGAATCAAGTTTCTCCATAACATAGGACTTATTAATACACTGCATGCAGCCGCTCTGCTCTGGTCTAGTGGTGCCCACTTCCCTCTTTGGAAGGCATGCTCACTGCTGCTTATGCATTTGCCATTGCTTCTCTCTTTGCCAGGGTTCATTTCTCTCATGATTTTGGGGCCTAACCCAACTTCTATTTCATAATGACTTCTTCCCCACTAATTTCAGCCCTTCAGAATTTTCATAACTCAAAACAATCTTCTATGAAGACTGTTAATATCTAAAATATTTAACCTGCACCTACATTCCCTCATCTTTCTTCACTTTTACCCACTAGAATAAATGCTTAATAAAAAAATTCATAGAAGATCGGCACCACGGCTCACTAGGCTAATCCTCCGCCTGCGGCGCCAGCACCCTGGGTTCTAGTCCCGGTCGGGGTGCCGGATTCTGTCCCGGTTGCTCCTCTTCCAGTCCAGCTCTCTGCCGTGGCCCGGGGAAGGCAGTGGAGGATAGCCCAGGTCCTTGGGCCCTGCACCCGCATGGGAGACCAGGAGAAGCCCTGGCTTTGGATGGGCGCAGCACGTCGGCCATAGAGGCCATTTGGGGGGTGAACCAATGAAAAGGAAGACCTTTCTCTCTGTCTCTCTCTCTTACTGTCTAACTCTGCCTGTCAAAAAAAAATTTCATAGATTTCACTATGTTGAAACCATCCCAAAGTGTTGATTAAAAAAAAAAATCCACATATTTCTGAGACTTGTCTAACCCCTGGTGTGGTCTGTGTTCACCCTGAGATAATTTTCCATCATCCTTTTAATAAAAGAGGTGCCAAAATTATAATTTTGCGGGTTTTTTGTTTTTCCTGCTTGGACATTGCCACTGTTATAGATGTTTATTAAATAAAGTCTGCCAATGAAGCACGTATAAGTCCAAGAATAAATTAGAGCAGATAACAATTGGCTGCCTTCTAATTAGTTAAACAAAATGACTGATGTGTTAGCTCGTTTATCTTCTTTCACTTGTGAGGATCACTATCAATTTCCTTTATTGCTATCTAGAAGATTTGGAGAAGCCCGATGGCATTTCAAAAGATTTCAATGAGTGGGATATAGTTTTACTTTTCATAAATCCGGAATAGGAAAAGAAACTAAACACAAACAAGATCCTTTTGGGTAAAATCTAACCATTCTTCAACCCTTATTTGTTTAATAAAAGACCAACCACAATATAAATGCAAGACAGATTCTGTTTGTACATAAGAAATGAAAGGAGAAGAGCTGTAGGTTGTTAATAACAGAAGATGTTTTGCACCTGTTCCAGAGGATGAATATGCATTTTGTCTTGGAGCCAGTACATAAGTCAAATTCCTTCAACACAGGCATAGGCAACCCTGGTTCTAGCTTTAGCCTGTGTGGAGGAAGAAAGGCTGGCACTGGCACAAGATTTACCCACTCTGAATGTAAATGCTCTTTGTCCACCTTAACTTGATGTCAGGGCGATTGGAAAACAAGAACTTGGTTGACTGAATAGAAGCAATTTGTTGTATTTTGTTCTTTGAACTCAGAGATAATCAAGGACTGTTATTTCAGATCCTGGCTGACCTGAATTTTGACTGGAAAAAGAACTAGATGTGAGATAACTGGATAGGCTGTGTATGTTTTAAAAAAATCAGCATGCCTCTAGAAACTGCTCAGAATTAGCTTATTTTTGTTTTCTCTGTTAATAACTTCTATATCATTTTTTCTATATTCCCAACCTCTCTGTTGCACTGAGATTTAATCTACTGGGTGAGAGTAAATGACTTAACTGAACTCATAGTTGCAAAAGGCACAGAAAAAAATGCTAAGGCAGTAAATCACATAGAACTCTACTTCAGAGTATCAATCCTGTAGGTGAATTGAAACAGAGCTCTCTGAAAATTTAAATAAGCTACTTCCTAATTGGAAGTTTCTATTTGTGCTGTTCGTTAGTTATTTTAGCCTTGGTCCTATCCAATCTGTTGACTCAGCCATTCACGCGGCCAGGAAACAACAATAAATGTGCGTGCTTTCCAGGAAAAGGCGCTGGGTTGGAGTGGGAAGACCCTGTTTCCATCCCAGTGCAACCCTGGGAGACCTTGGACAAGGGTCTGCACCCCTCCAGCCTTTCATTCAGGGAAACAGAGGAGACTGGACTGGAATAGAATTCTGAACGGTGCTCAGTTCGTGGGTGATGAGTCAGAGGTAAGCCAAGTAAATTGTGGTCCCTGTCCTCCACTCCCTGCTTCAGTGAAAAAATTGTTCCTGGAATGCTGGGTAAGACAGAGTATAACCCGGAGATATACAGCCTGGATGATTTTAAAAGGGCCTTTTTTTTTTTTTTAAGATTTATTTTATTTGTTTGAAAGTCAGAGAGAGGGAGAGATAAGAGATTTTCCATTTGCTTGTTCACGTCCCAGATGTCAGGAACAGGGCTCGTGTTTTTAAGATTTGGAATAATGACTGATGAATTAAAATAAGATTTTACTTTAAAGAATAAAGAATTTTGGGGTTGGCATTGTGGTGTAGCACATGAAGCCACCACTTTTGACACCAGCATCCCCTATGAGTGCCAGTTTAGATACAGGCTGCTTCACTTCCAATCTAGATTCCTGCTAAGGCACCTGTGGAAATAACAGAAGATGGCCCAAGTGCTTGGGCCCCTGCACCCACATGGGAGACCAGGACAGAGTTCCTGCTCATGGCTTTGCCTGACCCAGCCCCAGGTCATTGCAGCCATTTGGTGAGTGAACTAGTGGATAAAAGATTCATTCTTTCTTTCTCTCTGTTCCTGCCTTTCAAATAAATAAATCTTTACCAAAAAAAGTAGAATAAAAACTTCCGGCTTCTCTTGAAGAACTTGGTAATCATTCAGCACTAGTCTCACCCAAATCCATCCCATAGAACTGCACACAGCCTATTCCTGTCCAGCATTTAATTCCTTGATATAATGTGCAGGCTCCCTTACATGTCTATCCAGGTTCCTAAGTTCTGTCTACCACCTCTTTTCCCAACTACTCCCTTCCCCAACCCTGCTCTGTGCTTCTACTCTGCACTTACCATACTTAACAAACATGAGATGTGTTCCTGTTTTTGTCAGCTACCCCTGGATCCCCATATTATATTCCCAGGAATATAAGCATCAAGTGAGCAGGGATCTTATCTGTTGTGTATATGCCTAAAACATATCTAGTGTATGGTAAGAACTTGATAAATATTTTTTAAATGGATAAATGGATGAAACCATCCCTGACTGGCAAAGACAGCAACACGTGTGTATTAGAAGGGAGTAGCACTCGGCCATTCTGGATATATCCAGTTTGGAAAAGGCTCATTGTGCTGAGTTCTCAGAACCAAGTTCATTTGTTATTCTCTTCAGTTGTTTTTCTCTTACAAAGCGCACTCTTCCACTGATGGTCCTGCTTGTTCTATATAGCTGTTTTTACTTATCACACAAAATCCTCTAAGATATCCGTCTAAGATTTTGTTGGGGGCAAAAGAAAACTTCTGTTGCCAAAAATAATTTGAAAAATCCTTAACAAGAGCACTTTTCAAAATCTACTACTCAAACAGTGCTCTATACTTTGTGTGCCTTTGTGGGTACAGTCTGTTGAAATCTTTACTTAGTATATACTAAGTTGATCTTCTGTATATAAAGATAATTGAAAATGAATCGTGATGAAGCATAGGATGGGAGAGGGAGTGGGAGATGGGATGGCTGCGGGTGGGAGGGAGGTTACGGGGGAAAAAGCTGCTATAATTCAAAAGTTGTACTTTGGAAATTTATATTTATTAAAGTTGAAAAGAAAAAAAATTATTAAAAAATCCCTTCTAACAGTGAATTCATGCTCCACAGCCATTCAGATCTGTAAGTATGAAATCCAGGTCATGTGTGTGCAACTTTCCTTCATTGCTTCCTTTAAACACTTTTGTTTTCTTTTTTGAGTCAGTCCCCACAGGAATAGACCCAGTGAGGCCACTAATAGAATAGTTCATTCCCACCTGCCACCTCATGCCAGCCAACAATCTCAGCTTCACCACTCACTCTTGATTATGTAGAACCGTTCCAATCCTGAGTGACAGAATCTGCAGAGACAGCTGTTGGGCTCCACAAACATTTGAGGGGAGAGGGGGAGTGTGAAGTTGCTTGCTACATTCAACTATTCCTTTTCACTGGAAGAAACAGCTGCCATTTTCACATAGAAGGGGAGTAAAGGAAAGCTGACAATGCCCAGCACCATTCAGTAGTAACCATTCAAATAGACTTTCACCAGCCCAGCATCAGAATCTCAGTTTCTCCAGAGCACAGGGAGGACGCAAGGTGTCTGCATGTCCTGTTTGCTTGTCCAAACACTTCCCTAGATATGCAATTCAATCCAAATAAAACGTGTGCAATTCAAGCACCCACTTTCAGCATTCCATTTCTTGTTATCACACAAGGCATTAATGGGTTCCAGCACCCTCTGTGTACACCAAGCAAAAATGCAGTGTTGATCTCTGAGAGCAGGCACTCCCAGGCTCATCGGCAAGGGTATCTGCTGGAGTGGCTATGGGAGTACATTCCCAAATGGAAAAGTCAAGGAATGCTTAGAGGTACTCCGTGATTCAGCCATAGCTAATTTTTCCTTTAGTTTCTTTGGCTCATTTATTTGCTTATACGCAAGAGAGAGTACCCATTTATTCCTTTTCCCCCACCTTATCCCTCTTTTTTATTTTTTTTTATTTTTTTTTAATTTTTGACAGGCAGAGTGGACAGTGAGAGAGAGAGACAGAGAGAAAGGTCTTCCTTTTTGCCGTTGGTTCACCCTCCAATGGCCGCCGCGGCCGGCGCGCTGCGGCCGGCACACCGCGCTGATCCGATGGCAGGAACCAGGAGCCGGGTGCTTTTCCTGGTCTCCCATGGGGTGCAGGGCCCAAGCACCTGGGCCATCCTCCACTGCACTCCCTGGCCACAGCAGAGGGCTGGCCTGGAAGAGGGGCAACCGGGACAGAATCCGGCGCCCCAACCGGGACTAGAACCCGGTGTGCCGGCGCCGCTAGGCGGAGGATTAGCCTAGTGAGCCGCGGCGCCGGCCAACCTTATCCCTCTTAACCACCAGGGCCATCTCTCACACTGAAACCAACTTTGCACAGTTGTGAATCCAGGTAACAATCAAAATGAAGTGGTGGTGGTGGGTGGGGGAACTTTTGAAAGCTTGTTCCTTCATTTTAACCATTGCACTCATTGAATTATAAGAAATAAAACCTGGGAGTTGGCACCAGCCTAATGTCATAAAAATATATTGGGCTGGGACATTGTTGTCTGAATGTGGTAGAGTTAAATATTTCTTTTAAAAAGGGGATATGAGGCTGATACATACATTTTTCTATTTTTAATTATTTGTACTCAATTTGAAATTCAGATGCTTTGTGTGTGAGTTGTTTAGGGCAACTTTGTTGACAAATAAATGCTATGAAAAATGAAAAAAAGGATCATTTTGAGCCCTGACCTACATGAAGTAAGTGCCTTTATCTATACCCACTTGATCTATCCTCAAAGATGCTTACAGATGGGGTAAGGGATAAAGAAGGAATTTGTCTACAGGATGTTTTGATCTTAGGATGCCTCACAACAAGCATTTGGGTTGCTATTTTCTGTTTTTTGGTTTTTTTTTTTTTAAACAAATCCATTGCTATGCTAAGAACTACTGATTTAGTTGGGTTAAACATGTCAATTGAGAGGAAGTGATCAATAGATTACTTCTTAAAAACATTTATTCACCTTTTGAAATTTGCTGATATTTACAACATTAAACAGGCATGTCTAGGAGTTAAAGGAAAATGGAATATTTGAATTTTTTCCTGTTTTTATTTCTATCAACAGAAACTCAGTTAAGGAATACGTTTTCTGGGTTTCGCTCTCTACCTCCCTACATTATTAGAAACTTTTGTTGCTGCTTCTATGTGTGCCCTGATGGAGCAGGAGCTGGCTTTCTTGAAATTCTTGGTTTTAAGTCCAGATCCTATCTCTTCAGTGAAGTGGGTAAGACCAATGACAACTCACCACCTGGGGCAGAGATCTTTCTAAAGTCATTCACTACCAGACCATTTTGTGATACTCAGAATTGGCTGAAGCCCTTATCAATTCCAGAGGGAGTGGGAGACAAACTTATTTGAACTGACCCTTTCCACGATCACTTAAATTCAACAAACATTGTTTCTTAAGAAAAATGAAAATCAGCATAGGATAGGTTCAGCATGCGATGACTCACGTGATATTTATGACCGAAGTATCACTTACGACAGGACAGTTTCACCTGAGATGGGATTCCCCGGGAAGGCTTCTGTATCAGAATTCCTCCAAGGCCTCAGGGCTCCTACAAGGCAACACCACAGGCCACTGTCTCTGTCTTTTAATTAGAAGAATGGCTAGCTGTCATTTGCTAAAGACACACCAGAGCCAGAGACTGTATAAGGGTACCTTAAATACTCACAACTCTACAAGGTAAGAACTAGTTCGATTCTTTTTTCAGAGCAAGAATTTTTGAATAAAAGATAATTTTCCCTAAGCTTTATTTTTTTATTGGGGAAGTATGGAGGGCAGGGGAACCAAAGCCAAGATGCAGGAATTGAATCCAGGCATCCCATATGAATGGCAGGAACCCAATTACTTCAGCCGTTACCAATGCCTCTGAGGGTCAGCATTACAAAACCTGCAATCAGGACCTTGAGACAGATAGTGAACCCAGATATTGAACTCAGGCACTCCAATGTAGGATATGGGCATCTCAAGGTCACACAACTTGATAGATACCATTACCAAATAGTATAGGTGATATAAATGGGGTACCTTTCTAAGGGAGTACTACAGACGCAGTTCTTCCACAGCTGAATGCCTCTTGGCAAATGAGAGGACCTGGAACCTAAATTCTCCCTTGCTATGCCCTAGGATACTATTTATGCGTGCTCTGAGAGTCAACTTCATTTTATGTACTAAAGTCTCATTTGAAAGGATCATTGCCTTATTTAATGTGCTAATTTATAGGGAGAAGTTTATATATTTGAGGAATTTAATTTATTCCTGCATTTTATCCAGGAAACAAAAGCCAGATATTGTTGGACATTTGTTATTTGCTTTAAAAAGAAGATCTTAGGTTAAGATGAGAGAAATCTATTAATTGGATATTGCTCCCTACACTGGAGAACATAAAACCTTTCATGTCCTACAGCTCATCATACTCAAAATTTTAAGATGGACTCTAATAAAAGGAAAACTTTTTAGATATCCCTTTATTTGTAGATGGCAAGGTGCACTCAGTTCCATTAACAGAGCTCTTTTGACTAATCTAAATTCAGAACTAAGGGTCTGCTGAGAGGCTGGGACCCTGAGCAAACACACTTTCTAGGAGAGTTCACGGCCAGGTTCTGAGAGAGGTCATGGTCCTGTCGCACTCCTGAGGCCGGATCCTCAGATTCCAAGAGTAAGAGGAGCTGGCAGCAGCCCTTTCCATGTGTGTCTGCTGGCTCGTCCTCCAGTCTGGCATCTGCACACTCCTCTCCTCACCCTCCCTCACACGACCTTCCAAGCAGAATGAGCTGTCCTTCCAAATATGACCCTAACTCCTGCGACAGCTGGCGGCAAGAACAAGATAGACTGAGCTCATGCAAAGGGTATTAGCAGTGAGTCTTTTTATTTCTCTCCCTCAGTCAAAGATGTTTGGAAAATTCATCTAAAAGCTGTTTTAAAAATTTCATTCATAAAGA